TCATAGATATCATAGATAACGGTTTAATGAGTATTCAATCCACCTAATCAAGTAATCATAAATCCCGATTGTGATTGCAATATTGAACAGTGATTGAACATCAATCACGTGACGTAGATTGTAGTAACTCTCGGAGCCTTCCTTGCCACCAAGATTTGCCATTGTACTCAGCTTCAATATAATCCTTCCTGTTGACACACGTTAACCAGCTTTTCATAAACTTTCTCTGTTCTACTAAGTTTAGTAATGAAAGTAGATCTCGTTTATATTATTTGCAATATTTTGCAAAAAAATCTATCTATCTTTAATCAAAGCGTGAGCTTGGTAGAAAACCTTGACATCGTAATTTATTACCGTTAAGGTGGGAATCAAAACAAAATAGCAGAGCTGTGAATTACAATTAAGATAAGGTTCTTACTAATAACTGTATAGTTTATTCACCTAAACACCTGTAATCAATAATTGTATGTAAATCCTCACTGTTTATACTGTAGTTTGCCCACCAACTAATGTTTAAAAATGGTAGCAAATACCAAATACTACTTTAATAGGAGTATAGTTAGATATGCAATTTAAGGTAAACATCAAAATATCTAAAAATTATAAACGTTTATAAAAAATTATAAGTGTAAACAAACTGTTTTGTTGTCTTTTAAGAAGCACGTGCTTCATAGGTCTGCTATACTGACCCGTATCGTGGGAAAAGGACCCGAAAAAAACAATGTTTACCTGTTTAAAAGATTGAAAACAATTTCAAATACTCAGATGCAACAACCTATTGAAAGTAAACTATTAATGTGCACGTTACCGAGAGAGTGATTATCTAGAATTTTGCCAGTGTAGATGTACAAACATTTATTTTAAACCTTTACAATCAGTCTCCAGCGACAAATCCCTATTGGAAACTACGCTTTGATGTTGGGAAGCTGAGTTGAACCTTACCACGCCAGAAAGAACACACACCCACTCATGCACTACGTCACAATACATGTTATATTGGAGAGCGATTACTATTATGCACTGTTAATAATAGTTTATTGAAAGAAATCTGTTGGAGAATCAAAAAGTGATACATTTTAGTGTAAAACAAATATAATGTTTTTATGTACAACCATTCACATAGGTAAACCTTTCTATTTTAGTGTTCGAAGACATTGTAATGATATCGGACTTACTTGAGTCGTTGGATTAAAAAATAAAAGGATAAAAGTATACATATTATTCCTAAAATAAGTTCATAACTTATGATATTTCATTTTTTATGTTTAGAGTTGGGTTTTGTCTCCTATGATAATAATAATCATGATACTGTATTGATATACTGTGTCATATTTGAAGCTATTAAATGTTTAAGTAACACATTATCACAGGTTTTTTTTAACATTTTCCTAGAGTAAGAATTCGTGGGATCAGTGATTCAAAACGTTTTACTTTCGTTAATGTACTAACCAAGTAATTTCCATTTTGGCAATGAGAGATGTGGGTGCGTAATTTCTTCGACACGGAATGCAAAACTAATTTTAAAGTAAAACATAGTTGACATAAATCTGTTTTCTGTTACAGGGAAACAAATTATACCCATTTAACATCTGTTACAGTACAACAGAATCGCATGTTTTTTTCCGCGTGACGAGACGTTGCTCGTAGATCAGTAAAGTAATCGTTCCTGACATGTGATTATTACAATCAGGCGCGGCTAATGAATTAGACCTGGCTAATAACTGGATCAGTTCCTCTATTAATCACATGTTTTTGTACACGTGACGAGACGTTGCTCGTAGATCAGTAAAGTAATCGTTCCTGACATGTGATTATTGCAACCAGGCGCGGCTGATGAATTAGACCTGGCTAATAACTGGATATGTTCCTCTATAAATCTTATATCATATTATCTTATATCACAACTTTGTCCGCGAGACAAAGCGTTGCTCCTAGATCAGTAACGTAATCGTTCCGGACGTGTGATTATTGCAACCAGGCGCGGCTGATGAATTCGACCTGGCTAATAACGGGATATGTTCCTCTATTAATATATGTTTCTCTTTTCTGCTCAGTAAACATATTTCGATTTTCTTTTATTTATTTAAATTTCTGAGATATTATTTGGTGTAAGGTGTAATGTAATCATTATTATTCGTGAAATGTGTAAGAAGTCCTAGGCCGAGTAAATAATGATTTAACCATCCCAGGGTGAAACAATCATCTAAATACTTAGTTCCTGTATTTTGATAGTGACACAATTTGTAATTGAAATAGGGGTTTTCTGTTGATTGCATAGAATTGGATGAGATGATCTGTGTAGCATTGTCCATGATTTTATTTATATTTGAATGGAACTGTCAAACCAGCTGTTGCGGCTATTAGTATAGACGTTCGGGCCAGTGACGTAATTTATTTATGTTTATTATCCATATCGTTTCTGTTCTAATATTTGTGATATTTAGCTACCGAGGTATATTTCTTTAGTAGTGCTATCTAGATTCTCTTCGACACTATTTGATATAGTTTTCAAGCAAAAGTTATCACAAACATATAAAACATATGACAAAACAATAACCTAACTTTGTATCAGTAACAAATATTGATTGCTGGATACAAATAAAACCCCATTACTCTAATATTATTAACACTTTCATGAAATGAATCATAGTCAAATACCACACTTTCTGTTTTGTAATTTGTGATGGATGGTTCTATGGTTCTATTCAGGATAGTGTTTTATTTTTGTTAAATGGAATTACGTTACAGCTAGGATATATCAACATACTTTATCTCTATAACTAGGAAGTTTAATGGTTACATAGACTATACAAATTAGTAAGGTTGAAACCTGATGCAACATATCTGTGAAGTGTAAAATTCCTATGTAAAACTAAAGTCCTTCATGCGAGGCTAAGCCTTTACACCAGAGATCAGCGCATTGATCTCTTGGTTCAATACGTTTTAATCAGTTCTTTTGAAGCCTACTGGCGATGGTTCTTTATATTTACTGTGTAATTGGCAATGTCTTTTATTTTCAAAATTAGTTACGGAAGTTACACCGTGTTGCTAAAAATTAAAAGCTACAAAACTAGAAAAAGTTTATAATAAACTGATTGAAGTAATTAATATTATTGTAATCTGAGTATAGAAATATCTTTTTATTCACTCTTTTTCCTTGCGTAATTTGTTTGGAAGTGTATTCTTCTTTTATTTTGTACAAGGGAAACATAACTGAGTGATATAGAAACAACGTTTACAATGTTTACAAAACTTAGTAACATTGCATCTCAATATAGATTCAACCCCTTTGTTTGCATATGCTATGGACTGACCTCGTGAACCTCATAGTTAAATTTGAGACGATATTCACTGTGCTAGTAAAAACCTGTACGTACCGCTAGTTAGTTTTTTGTTACTTAAACATGAAAAGACAGTTTAAAATTGATGTCAGAAAATTGTGTTTACTAGAATAATTTTCTGAGCAGCTTAATCAAATGCACTAACATAAACACACAGTATATAATTATTATACTATTCGACTTTTGTTATGTTATGACATATATAATACAGTACAACCCAAGCAGTATTGTTTGGATACTCGGTCCTACTTAGCATCACAGTTCTAAAAGCTCCAATTCGAAAAGGTTAAGTGTATATTGTATGTTTTTAAACGTGTGCAAAAGCTCAATGGAGGTGAATGCGACTAGGGTTTGAGGCGGGATCATTTGTCATTTTGAGTGCTTCATGCACCTTTCAACAGCAGATAATAGCGACCAAAATATATTCCGTGAAAATTCGGTCCTTTTACCAGCTGAAAAATTACAGTTGAGCTATTAAGTCTAAAAAAGGTTGCGATTTGAAAAATCTACAGAAAATGTATAAACATTTTACGTTTACAGTTTTTGTTGGAATTCAAACTAATAAAATCTTAACTCCAAGCATAATAAACATGTTTAAAGATATGTTTATAATGACTAAAGTCAAACATATCTATTAAAATTGTAGGTAATAAATGTATAGAGTTTCCAAAGCTGCAAGCTATAATCACTACCACAAAAGCTAAATATTGGTTAAGTTGGCATATACAAGACTAGGCCAACAACTAAAACTAATTTGACAGATCAGCCGGATTAAGGTACACTGATCCGTTTATGTTATAATTAGGTTCAGTGATAGACCTACAAACGTGTGCTACGTGAAACTCATCATTCGAGCATTTATACAACGATAGTCATTATAACTAGTTTAAGCTTACAAATCTTGTGAGTCTTTTCAACAATCTATGTCAAACGATTTGTTTAACGTTTGCGTTGTAACACACATTGTTTGCAAAAATATTAACGTAGGAATTGCCTTAACAATTTTTTTTTTAAATAATGTGTGCTATATAAAAGCCAAAATCCTTCTGAAAAAATGTGGAATGGATTATTTTCTTAAATGAAACTGTCACTTATTTATACAGTAACTTTATCTCAGTTTAACAAATTAAATTAAATACATAAAAAAGTGTTTCTGAGATATATAACTAAGGTTTGTAATACCATAAGGTATTTTCTTCCACATATAAGATAATGTTTTGGATGTAACATATTGAGTACGCCTCATTTTGTATTTTACAGCCACTATTAATTTCCAAAAGAAATGCAGTATTCAAGAGCAACTTTATTTTTCAAATACATGTGTTACACAATGAAAACATCAAAAGGTCATTAAAACACACACATTAAAACACAAACATATTTTAAAAGAACAATGGCCAATACAGAATTTGTATTGTACAAGAAGTCAGTTTATTATTTAAGGTTGTAAATAAAGTATTAAATATGAATTCTCCACTGCAATCTGCAATAGGTTCACCAGACACGCTGCAGGGCGTGGTGAATCCCCAATTTCGCTCCCACATCCGAATAAATACACCCACTACACTACTTATTTAAAACTCAATTAACTAAACTGAACATATTTTGTCTCTAACAGCACAAATCACGAATGTCAATAGTAAATAACAGACCACGTACCCACTGTGTATCTGGGAGCAGCGGGCCCGGGCTGGCTGGGCTGCGATATGCTACTACACGTTGACAGGTCCACGTGTAGTTGTCGTGTAGTAGTGTACGTGTCGTGTACGTGCACGGGTAGATCCTTGTAGGCACGTCAGAGTAGTTATAACGTGTAACTGGACTCGCGGTTCCGGCAGTACTGGACTCAGCACCACCCAGCATCCGTTGCATCTGCGCACCCCCCCCCCCCTCTCACACCCACACCCTACAAAACACCCTCTCCCGGCTGCTCTGCTCTTCCGATCTAATTCAATCCCGACGCGGACCTACCACCTACTGTCATCTGCAAATTATACTCATCTTCAAGCCTGATTGTTTTCTGTTTTGCCTACAGCGATGGAAAATCAGGCAATTACATTATTGTTCGTTTCTCTCACAGTTTCTGTCAGTTACACCTGGAGAACAAATTGTGTTGTTTTACTTTATGATGAGTACATGAGTGTTGTTGGTATGAAGATACTGTAAACAAATCTAATACTACTATTAGACAGCAACAATAAAGCAAACATTGAAATTATTTCTTACAGTTTTTCATGCCTAGATAATTATATGATAAAACAAATCACTGTAATCAATGACTATACTGTGTAGATTATTAGGGAGTTTAAGTTCAGAAAATAATAAGGAAACTGTAAATGTCTCTTACACCCCCTGTGTAGAGCTACCTTCTTTTGAGTATTGCTATTTTAATGGTCGGTTATTGGTAATTGGTAAATTATAAAAAATATGTTATATGCAACAAACCAGCAAATCAAGCAGTGATATCCTGTGGTAAGTTAAAATACCACTTTAAAACCCTGTAAAACAGCACATTCTGCGATTAATAAGATAATTTGAGTAAACTAGGCTTGAGAAACCATTAATTATCTACAGATTACTTAGACATAAAGTGTTCCCCCAAAACACTCAATGTTCTCAAAACTCGTTACTCACACTGATCCTCTCCTCTTGTTTATTCTATAAGAGTAAAAATTTGTTCTGTTAAGTTCACGGTGGATCATGGAGCAATTTGCATCCACTTACTAAGCTTGAGAGCTATACCTACTCCTAGCGATCACTTAGGGGGATCATTATACCTTGGCCTATACACTGACTGTAAATGAGTCCAAAATAATGAATGGTTAATCAAATTTACCTGCTCGCTTTTTAAACCTATTGAAATGAGGAGTGGTCTGAAAAAGATCAAGTACCGCAACGGTCTAAGTTTGATGGAAAAGTCAGTGACGATTGTAATAGCATTAGATTAGCATAGATTGTTATAGCATAGCATTGGAGGGTCTTAAACTGCCTTGGACCAGTCCAAAATCGACCTCTGATTTACCCCTTTTAATACATGACTAAATATACTAATTTGGCAGCATTTGTTATAATATACTATTACATTCATACTATAACATGGTACAATATTACTCTTACAATAGTCGGTTATTGATATCTAATACAAAAATTTATAAAACGTGCTCAGTAAGACTTTTAAAGAATAAATTAGATAAAAGAACTGTAAAATATGTCTGATGTTCGTATTAAAAACCTTGCGAATAGCTTGTAAATGGTAACAAACTAATTCAGGAGATACATAGCCATGTTGGGAGATATATAAAAATGTAACCTAGATATAGTATGGTAAAAATGGTGCATTGTGAAAAATTACAATTTAACCTGTGAAAGTCCAAAACCCCTACCTAAAAACTACCTTGCTTTTACAAAGAAACCTACAAACCCCGGCCTCTCTTGTTTCCTGAAAGGAGTTTTAAAGCTTTTCATCAGACATGTACACTCTCAATGAATCATCCAAAGGCAAATGACTTCTTTGACATGGAACAGACATTTTCAAAACAGCTTCTGAGAAAAGGACTTCTATGTTTACCATAAAGTGTATATAAAATAGTTTTTTTTTTATGTAGTGGTTAAAGGCGTCGTGCAGAGTACATATTTCTACAAACATATTGTTTTGTTCAGTAATGATTATTAAAATGTGTCTATCTTTGAAAGCAATAAGGGTTAACCAATTGAGAAAAGATTTTAAATTGATTTTACTGTTACTGTAACATTAATTAATGCCACAAATATTAGTAACAAACAAGCATTGTAAAAATAAAATCAATAGATAACCAATAATACCTCGATTTTATGGTACGTCTATACATAGTCTTACAATTTGCTGTAAGTAACAATGGACAGACAAAATAATTATTTACATGACTATTAGTCTGTGTGAAAAGGTGTTTTAAACGTTTCTTTTACATACTGAAAGCTTTATTATTCTAGTAAAACAATAAATATAATAGTATTTACATCTAGGTATTTACCTTAAAAATTTGTATTTTCATGTTTATACAGTATATTCACACAAAGTATTTTTTGTCGACCTGTTACATTAATACCCTAATATAAGTTACAGAGTCTCTCAAGCTTAGAGAGATTAAGTTTAGTTGGACACTCGTAATCTTTATTGTTACACACTGGACTTACAGGGATTTCTAGAACCAGCCTAAATCCGTCTATACGATATTTATGTTAACTTAACATTGATATAAACAAAGTATCATTTCGGACCTTGACCAGAGACTTTAAATGGAAATTGGTAATTAAATAAAGTTTTAAACTTTTAAATATTAAACTTTTTCCTACGGATCATAAATGAATAGTCTTTCAAAACTTAAATTATGCGATATGACGTAACATGGGATTAAGGTAGGATACAGTTAAGCACAGAAACTGGTGGTGTTAGTGCAAGACTTTTATCCCGGAATCCTGGATTTAATCATCACGAAATTAAATCAGATGAAGCCATGTCACGGTGAATTCAGCCGTCTAACAACACCAGACTTTTCTTCTTTAACATCTATATGAAGGTATAAGTAGGAACATTTGTAATTGAGGTATTCGACAGGCGATATAAGCAAGTTCTTGATTATTACGCAGGACCTTATGAAAAAACAACAGACTACTACAGCATTGCCTCATTCAATAAAACATGTTTTAACTGCTAAGTGTAATAGTCAAATTTTCTATTTTAAATTTTTCTTAAGAGTGTGACGTTTGTAAATTTAAATAAGAAATTCTTAGAAAATCTGAATTCCACCATTCTTACTTCAGTAAACATAATTTAAAACGTTCACGGTTCATTCAAACTTTATTGACATGTACTGATCGCTTCTGGGACCTCTAGGAGTCTCTTGCTGACTTTATGTTGAACGTTAAATATCTTACGAGACGAGTAAGTGCATTTGCGTGGCAAAATAGTTTCTTAAAGTCTTCAATATACTTCAATATAAATATATAATTAAAGTATCCAATAACTTAAGTTCGTCTTGATAGCCCTGACACACACAAATGTACAAATTTGTGATTTGAATTAATTGTGACGATTAAAAATTAAAATTAAATGCTTCCAGATTTTTTACATGACATTTATTTTATTTTTGAATAGTGTTGTATGAAATAATGTAACTATCTTACATTGATACTGGGATTTAGATCCGTAAATAGGACACATATAGTAGGAATCTACAATTTCTTTTATTTACCATGCAATATTTTAAATTAATTACCCACCCACTCAATTTTGTAGCTAAATTAAAATATTGTTCTCTGAATTCATAAGCACAATTCCTAAAGTATGATGTCATACAACTTGGTAATATGGTAATTTACAGTTTAAAATAAATTTTATTTCATAGACTAACGGGTATATTCTGTTTTATTATTGTATAGAAAAATATTTAATGAAGTATAATATTATCAACCATTCGAAGGGATTTACTCTTTTAAAAGCCACGTATTTCAAAAAAGGTGTTTACTTTTTCTAACGAAAAATCACAATTTATATGTGTTATTTTTAATATTTTAAAACACTATTAAATATCACTTAATATTTTTCTTAAAAACTTACTGAACCACGATTTATTTATTCATAATTTCCATCTGGGTTATTACCAAAATTTTAGAATCCTGAATTAATTGTTAGCATGTTTTTTAAAATACAATTGAATAAATAACGGTTATTGATCTTCTTCTATTTAATTCAATAGTACAACCACTCATGGTATTTAAAAATAGTCGATAAGCACTATTAATTATCACAGTGACAACAAATCAGTTTTAAAAGACTGTTTGAGAATACCAGAGTATTTGTATTCATCAGGGGTGATGAATAACTAGATAATTAGTGGGACGAATCTTTTGTATTTCCTAACAGTTTTAATATATTTTCAAATTCATATTTCATTATGTAATTTTAACTTTTGACTAAAGTACAGGTAGGAGAGAGCGAACAAGGAGTTACTAGCTTCTAAAAATCTTTATATTCCTCAAAAGTTTATAGAATTTTTTTAGTACAATGAATAGTTCACAGAATTAAAGTTTGGAATTACAAACATATTCAATGGTAAATACTTTGATTAACAAACAGCTTTGGATCAATACATTTCTATAATATCAACTTACACACTTATTCAAATAAATTGTTAATTTAAAATGATATATATCGGTTTAAAGAACGATCTAAATTCCTCAAAATGCAGTTAGATAGCTTTTATCCTAAAGGTCTTAAACATCATCAAACTTTAAAGTGAGTAATTTGTTATTGAGTATGAACATTCAAAAAGGCTGTAATGCATGAACAGCTCCCAAAGGTGAGTCTATCAACAAAGAGGATGGACATTTCCCAAAATATAGCATCTCTTTACACAACACAGAATACGTTTTTACCTTTTGTTAGTTTCATAACGATGAGCCTGTTTATAAAACCACATGTTTATATCACTTTTGGTACCAAAACGAGATACTCTACCGCTAAATAACTTATTTAGTAAACAATATGGATTTTTAAAATAGTTTTTATTAAAAATCTATATATTATTACAATTCATTATTCATGTTGCACGAATTTATTTAGGAAAGATGTAATGAAAAATGAAAATTCGACGTTACTTTTTTTGCAAACTTTCGTATTTATTTTCATATCCCTTTAATCAAACACGGATTTACTACTACGTGATTTAAAAAAAGCCACCCTCTTAAGCCACCTATTTAGACGATACATATTTCAACATAGAACCATTTCTATTGATATGCAATAGTTGGTCCTGTATGGCCTATTAAAGCCTATTGCTATTAGTTTAATATGTAAACAACAATTG